TCTTTGATGCTTGCATCAGAGTCGGCTTCGACCCATCTAGAGAAGAAGTCGGTCAGGACCAAAAGGAAGCGTTTTTGTTTTGACGCGTGCATTGGCCCGACTATATCCATCGCCATCGCATGAACGGATATGGCGCCGAAATAGATGAGAGAACTTCGGCAGGTTGGTGAATAGTCGGAGCGTCCCGCTGACACTTCTCGCATTTTTCGCGAGAATTCTTGCAGTCCTTTACCATCGTTGGCCAGAAATATCCGTGGCGCTTGATTTTTATTGCGAGAGATCTTCCGCCGGAATGGTTTCCGCAAGATCCGGAGTGCACTTCCTGCATTATCCGCTGTGCTTTCTCCCCTTGCACGCAGGTCATTAGTGGTCCGGAGAATCTCCATATATAAAGTTCTTTGTCAACTAAAACGTACTGTGCGGCCTGAGTTTTTATTTTCCGGGCCGCCCACTTTTCCGGTGGAATTTCTCCGTTGGTTATGTATGAGAGAATCGTTTCCATCCAGGGTCGACTAAATCCATAATCAGACAGATCTTCGATTGGACGGTTTTCGCCTATGTCGTCCTCCGATTCGTTGTTCAGGCTTATAATTACGGGCGGTCCGATGCTAGGGTGCTCGATGAATTCAACAGGAATTACCCTACTCATACCAGGATCCAAGCTGGATGCCAGGGCGGCCAAGGCGTCTGCCTGGACGTTTTCCACTCGAGGGATTCTAGTAAGTGCGAATTGATCGAACTTTTGGGTTAGATATTTTACTAAGATCAGATATGCTTCCATCCTCTCGTCCCTCGCTTCGTACTCTCCGCTGAACTGGCTAGCCACTAGCTGGGAATCGCAGTAAGCGTGAAGGTTACGAATCTTCAGACCGTGAGCTAATCGTAGTCCTCCGATCAAGGCCTCATATTCGGCTTCGTTGTTTGAAGCGTGGAAAATTAATCGGAATGACTATTCTAATACCTCTCCTGTTGGGGATGCGAGTCGGATGCCGATCCCGAAGCCTTGTTTGGATGAGGATCCGTCAACGTATAGGATCCAGGTTGAGTTCGGCTCTTGGTTGGACGTGCTTCCCGTCGGGAGTTCCACTATGAATTCCGCGAGTACTTGCGATTTCGCACAAGTCTTTGTGCGATATTCAATATCGTACTCTCTCAGCTTGATCGCCCATTTCGCTAATCTTCCCGGATTGGCTGTGACTATGCAAAATGGTGCGGAGAGGGAATGAAGTTGGCACGACGATGGTGTGAGATTGAAAATACGGTCTCAGTTTTCTTGCTGACATGACCACAGCCAAAGCCAGTTTCTCCATCATCGGATATCGCGTCTCCGCGTCCAGTAGTGTCTTACTTACGTAGAAGATTGGCTTTTCTTCGCCGCGTTCTTCCCAGATAAGGACGCCACTGACGCCGGTTGTCGATACTGCGATATAGAGGAATAGTGGTTCTCCTTCTACGGGTTTCGTGAGTACTGGCAGGGTAGCGAGGTAATGTTTCAGCTGTTGGAAAGCTTTCTCGCATTCTTCGGACCATTCGAACTTTTTGCTTACCTTTAATGTTTCGTAGAAAGGTAGAAATTTGTCCGTTGATCGCGAGATAAAACGGTTGAGTGCCGCGACCCTGCCGGTCAGTCTCTGCACCTCGCGTTTCGTTCTACGAGAAACCATCTCTATCAGCGCCGTGATTTGTTTCGGGTTGGCCTCGATCCCGCGGTAAGTGACGAGGTACCCTAAGAATTCTCCAGATGCGACAGCGAACCGACACTTCGCATGATTCAGCTTAATGTTATAAAGGTTGAGCCTCTCGAAACATTCTTGGAGGTGCACGACATGATCTCGCTCTTCGAGTGATTTCACAAGCATGTCGTCGATGTAAACTTCCATTGTTTTTCCGAGCTGTTCGGCGAACATGCGATTGACGAGTCGTTGATAAGTCGCACCAGCATTCTTAAGGCCGAAAGGCATCACTTTATAGCAGTATGTTCCACGATCAGCTATGAATGTGGTTTTTTCTCGATCGTCAGGGTTCATCATGATCTGATTGTATCCCGAAAAGGCGTCCATGAAAGATAAGAGTTTGTTCCCCGTGGTTGCCTTGGCTAGGCGATCGATGTGTGGCAGCGGATAACTATCTTTAGGAAACGCCTTATTGAGATCAGTGAAATCGACGCAAACTCGTCACTTTCCGTTCTTTTTCTTTATGTCGACAGGATTGGCAAGCCAGTCAGGATACCGAACTTTTGTGATCTATCCTACTTTGAGGAGTCTGTCGATTTCTCTGTTGACCGCTTCGGCGCATTCTGGCCCCAGTTTTCATCTTTTTTGTTTGACGGGTTTGGATGTCGGGTCAACGTTAAGTTCATGACATGTGATGTTAATGTCGATTCCTGGCATATCTTCCGCAGTCCAAGCGAACGTGTTCGAGTTTCGTTTCAGACATGTCAGGAGTTCGGCTTCTAAGGTCTCGCTCAGCTTTGCACCAATTTCGACGCAGCGCTCTGGAAAAGCCTCGTCGATGTACACTGAGACGACGGGTTCCCAGGTTGGCTCGCGTTTACCTTCCAATGCCTCGGTTGCTCGCAACTGCCAGAAGAGTTCTGTTTTATCTTGCTCTGGGGCGTTGTCGAGGGCTGTCGACTTCTTTTTCTTTTTGGAAGAAACGCCGACCGACAGATTTTTTCGTTTTAAATCCTCGGCGTAACAAACTTGCGAGGTCCTCCGATTCCCCCATATGGTCTCGATTCCGCACGGAATCGGAAACTTAAGACACATGTGGTACGTAGACGGAATCGCTTGCATCGAATTTAACCACGGTGTCCCTATGATTGCGTTGTAAGACATGGGTCGATCGACGACTTGGAATTCGACGTTTTTCACTATGCTCTCGGCGCGAACCGTAAGGTTGATCGTTCTGAGGGTCATGGTGATTTCTCCCGAGAGTCCTACTAGCGGGCTTACGTTTCCCACGATTTCGGACAGATCGATTTCCATTCTCTCGAGAGTATTTTTAAAGATGATATCAGCCAAGCTTCCGGTATCGACTAATATCCTTGCGACATCCATATTCTGGATCGTCAGCTCGATAACGAGAAGATCGTTGAGAGGTTTTATCGAATCGATCGTTGCTCTTTTCTCGAACTAGATGACGTCGGCGTTCAGATTAGGCATATCCTTTCTCATTCGTTCTAGCGATTATTGTGTAAGAGAATCCGACCCCCCCCCCCTCCTTCTACCGCCAAACTGTGAGAACCGAAATCCACACTGTTAATTTTCCGTTAAATATGGAAACTTAGAAAAAATCCTAATTTTCCCAAGGTCCTGGATCTATGCGGAAATCACTAAAACGGACAGAGTTAACAGAATATGGATGAATAACAATGATGAAGAACAGAGAATAGATAAAGAATTTGTGTGAAAGATTTTATTGAATAAGAGATTGACAACTGTTACAAAAGAGAATTGCAGAACTTAGACGTCGAAACGTTCTAAGGATCCGGTTTGCTAGTGTAAACGCTAAGTCCTAAATTTCTAAGCTAAGAGCCGCCTCCTCAGGTCTGATTTTCGTCCTTCTACTTCTGCCCTATACCTCTTGCTTATATACTCCCTTTTTTGGCGGTTTGATCCTTCCATTTCACCCAGATTCGAGTTTATCGGGAGTCTTCCATTTATCTCGATCCTTCCTTTTTTCCCGCGAAAATCTTCTATTTATCTTCAAACTTGCCATTTATCTTCCTTCTGCGAGTAAACTGTCAAAACGTTATCGTATCTTCGGGTTAGATTTCGTTAAGTTCGCGAGATGGGCTTTTATCACGTTTTAGGACCTTCCGGGCCGTTTTGCGATAATTCCGTTTTGCGACTTTGTGCGAGATTGTTTCCTCATCCGATGCCGTTTTTAGTAAATTCCCCGAGTTAATCGTAAAGTTTAGCTATGTTCGTTTCTCGGTTAATCGTTGCCGTGTTTACGATTCACTCGACGTTTTTAACGATTTTTACGAAAAATCTCGAATAAATCGTATAGTTTAGGCAATGTTCGATGTTTCGTTTAACCGTTGCCGTTTTATATGATTTCCTCGAGTTCTTTTCGAGGAAACAAAGTTTTACGGTTTTTATCGTAAAACCCGAATGATAAGATGGATCGAGACGAAACGGGAGACATTTCGACCGTGGTTCGGAACACAACCGTGTCGATGGATGTAAGCCTTGAATCGGGGATGCGGGAGATCGAGGCTCAGGATGGTTGGTTCGACCGGCTGGCTTAGCTCGCCGTTGGGCGAGCTAGTCGTGACGTGACTAGCTCGCGTTTTACGGCGGTTTCGGTTTTTCGTGGTTTTGTGCTTAACTCGGACGATCGTGTAATCGCGTTTGTTTCGTTTCTCCGAGATAACGATGTTTCGGTTTTTCCGCGGATTTCATTTGTTCGAAAATCTCCTTTGGATTTATAAATGATTATTCGAGTTTTGTAAAACGATTTCTCGAGTTTTATAAAACGATTCTTCGAGTTTTATAAAACGATTTCTCGAGTTTTATAAAACGATTTCTGGAATTTTATAAAACGATTTCTCGAGTTTTATAAAACGATTTTTGTATTTTGCGAAAAGTAATGATTCTATCTTTTACAGAAGTTATCGTAGACGTTGATTTCGAGATTACGATTTTTGACACGACGTTGATTTCGAGATTACGGTTTTTGACACGACGTTGATTTCGAGATTACGGTTTTTGACACCAACAATGGTGTTTTCACTTATTGAAACCAAAGCAAAAAATCCTAGTCTATTCTTAATATTGGCTCTATCACTTTCAATTATTATCAAGTTATAGTTATTTTTATGCTAAGATGGGTATGAATTCGTATAAGCTACGCGTGGACAAAATGATGAAAAGGAAAATAAATGTTGAAATGAAATGTGTGAGATTACTTTCTTTTAATACTTAGTATAATAATTTAAGTGTCTTACCAGCAGTATAATTTAATAAGTGCAAACACTTGATAATTGTTCTGAATTAAGATCTACGTGGCAACATGTTAGAGATAACAAGAGCAATACCACAAAGTTTCTTGATTCCCTTACTGTTATTCACAATAGAAGCATCTACAGATCTCAATCTCTTCACATCATCTAAACATGTATCAGCTCCATCCAATGCAGCTGAAACTTTTATGTTCATCCCGAAGCCATCGCCGGAAGCCAAATGCTCAAAAGCTTCGTCGAGGTTTTCAATGGTGTTCTCATATTCATCCATGCAGGACCTGTAAGCTAACTTGGATCGTGGGTCGACGCCTCCATCAATAATAGATTGAAGTCTTTTGGATGTTTGTGTTGCTCTTGCTTGTGTGGCATCAAGCGTGGTTTTTGCCAAGGCTTGAATGCTAGGAGCTGCAGATTTTGAATTGAGGAACTTAAGACAGAAAGCTCGGTCCAAAGTTTTGTCACAGATTGTGCTCATCTCTGAGCTTGTGATTGCGTATGAGGAACCAATCAATAGAAGCAGCATGAGAGAAGACAAGAAAGCATTGTTCCTTAGATTTGCAGCCATTCTTGTTTCTCTGCTTTCTGTTTTTTCCCTAGTTTATGATAGGAAACAATAACCGAGACAATGAGTATTTATATATAGATTGATTAACGTACAACACATTAGTCAAAACAAAGGCAAGAATAGAAGTTGATATGAGCGATCAGGAAATCTTTTGCCATTGTTAGAAAGTGCAGATAATCGTAAACAGTTATGCACACGTTAATTATAGCTTAGTATTATGCACAAAAAAGAGCTGTCTTCCAAAAAATACCTATTATTCCTTTTTTAAAAATTAAAATTAAATTTTATTATCAGATTGTATGTGCTCATCATGCTTGGAGTAAATAATTAGACATGAACATCGAGATACCCATTTAGATTTATATCATTTTTTAGATTTTTGGATTCAATTTTCGGATGAACATGGGCTCTATTTGGGTTTTATATATATGTTGGGATCGAATTCGAGTAATAATATTTGAATTTGGATATATTTTGTAACTCTATTTAACGCAATTTTGGATTCAACTCAGTTTAGAATCTTTGGATTCAGTTAGTATGTTCGGGTTGACTGTTTTGAGAGATCAGATCAAATAAACAAGAAACTCAATAAAAGTTACTTTTTAGATTTCAAGAAATTATTTGGTATGAAATCAGATATTGGATATTTACTTAGATTGTTTCTTTTTCTAGTTTTCTATGTTTTAAAAAATGTTTCCTTCGGTTTCAGGTTAATAATCTTCTTAATATACATATTTTTAGATTGTTCCTTTTTCGAGTTTTCTATGTTTTAAAAAAGTTTACTTTGGTTTAGGTTAATAATCTTCTTAATATACATATTTTAGTAATTAATCGATAAACTTGGTTTCTCTAAAATTCAGATCCTCAAAAATGATGATAATACTTAAAATACTTTATGAAGTATTTTATATAGTTCCCCTATTCATTAAAAGAATGCTCTCGCAGCGATAAGAGATCAAAATTTAGAAAAGAAAATAACTAACCAAAGGAAAAGAGAGAAAAACAGAAAAATAAATATTTTATTTTCAGTCGTAGAAAAGAGATACAAATGAAGAACAATGGTCACTATTTTTTTTTTGGTGTTATCTAACATCAGAAAGCTTCATTTATTCTGACGCCGTGTCACTGTTTCTCATTTCATTTAGTTAAAGATGAAGAAACTTATGAATAAATCTCAGCCTCCAATGTCGATCGCAGTGTTCGTTAAACGAGGGGTAGTATTGTAAAACAAAATCTGTAAATTTAAATATATCATAATAATTAGAAAAGAACATAAAGTTTAATATATTTGGAAAACTTGGATCCAGATATTTAAACTTGAAAATAAAAAGCTTTCTCAGAGCCATGGAGGGTACTGATCAATGGGAAGTATTAGTGGTACAACAAAGGATGAATAGAGGGGCTTTAATCATTGCTCAAAGTGTCAAGAAATGTGGTTTCTCGCAGTCTTATGTTTCGGTAGGACATCCGAGATGGTTACATGATTTCTTTGTTGGTGAAAGGAGGGTCCTCTAAGGGTTTTTGTCTATGATTGATGGCGTGTGGTTAGGGTTGATTGTGTATTAGTATTGTTATCGGTTTCCAGTTGTGTTGGGCTGTTTGCTGCAGAGTTTTCTGTGATACTCTGTTCCTGTATGTTTCCTTCTGTTATAATCAAATTTCCAGTGAAAAAAAAAAACCAAGAGACCCCTTGTGGGCTCTAGTTATTACACAGTGGGTTTTAAAGAGCTTTTACTTCGTTAAACGTGTTTTCTAGATCCAACATGTTTTTGAAAGATTTTTTCAACCTTTTCCTTGGGTTTTGGATATACAGTGCTCACATTTTCAAAATCTTATCTGTTTCTGCAAACTATTCTTCATTTATTGGAAACAAGTTGGTGGAAATTGGCAAGAATTTACTGCGAAATTTAAAGTTTTAAAAGCTGTAAGCATGTCACTTGCTATGGATAAAACCCTGATGGCTCTGTCACTTGATGAGGAAGACACACCTTTTGAAATGCCGGAACTACCAGGTTTTAGCTCGGCGGAAGAGAACATGCTCAGCCTGATGGGAAGGGTCCTTAATCCAAGCTGCCAGAAAATGCCGACGCTCATTATGAAGATGCCGAGGAAGTGGCTCAAGGAAGGTAGGGTTCGTGGGATTGCTCTCTCTAAGGAACGTTTTCAGTTCATTTTCCTGTACGAACATGATTTGCTGGAGATTCTTGACAGAGGGGTGCATACCTTCAATGAGTGGGTGATTGTGATTGAACGTTGGGTTGAAAACCCACCTGAGGATTACCTGAAATACATTCCCTTATGGGTTCAAATCAGTGATATTCTGGTTAACTTCTACACTACGGAAGCTCTCACTGCTCTTGGTGATTTGGTCGGGAAGACAAAGGTGGCAGCCTTTGACCCTACTAAAACAGTCACGCAGAAGTTTATTAGGGTCCAAGTCCTCTTCAATGTAGCGCATCCGCTTCGACAAACCAAAGTGATTAAGATTAAAGGAGGTAAAGAGGCGGTTGTACGCTTTCACTACGAAAATGTACAGAAACGATGTTTCAAGTGTCAACGACTTAATCATGAGAGGGATTTCTGTCCGTTGGTGGTGAGAGAAAGACAAGAGGCCTCAAGAATGTGGAAAGAAAAAGAGGCTGAGACAAGGGTCAAGAAGAATTTGGTACTTCAAGAAGATGACATTCTATTTGGAGTGCTAACTGAATCTCAAGTTGGTTATGACCCGGCGATAGGTCGTCTTAAAATTGCAAAAGAGGTGCTAGATGAGATGAAGAGATACCTGAAGACTGATACTGGAGATAGCTTCTTAATTAAAGTAGATATGATTCATTAGTCTCTTAAATATGCTGAAAAGGACTCAATGACGCAGAAACTGACCCTGAGATTGGAAGCTCCTCCACTGGTCACTGATGACCTAAATAAAGGGAAAGGGTTAGTGTTTTGTTACAGTGAAAAGATGGGTGAGTCCAGAGAATCGTGAGGTCCAGCTCCACCCGAAAAACTGATGGCGGCTTCCTTTAAAGCCCATACTAATGTTTCATACCGATCAGGACCAGCTCTATTTTTCCATGACCAGGAGGCTGAGGCTGAGAGTGCTGCTAGTTTTGCATCATTTCATTCTGATTATCCTACGGTTTTCAAGGCTGGGAGCTCTGCTCCTAACCCTACCAGGATATGTAAGAAAATACTTGCAATAAGAAAGTGACCTCCTAAAAATGTGAGGCTGCAAAAAGGAGAGAGTTGAGTCAGGTTGATGTAAGAGAGTTCGATGACAGAAGCGAAGGAAAGGAGACGATGGGAAGCAAGAAATGGAAGTTCTCACTTGAAGGAAAAGACAAAGAAGCTAGCTCAAACAACAAGGTTGTGTGCCTAAAGGTGGCCCCAAAGGGGGGGGGGGGTTGCCCAACGCCCAATGAGCTTCATAAGCTGGAATTGTCAGGGCTTGGGGCGGCCTCAAGGCTTGACGATTCAGAGACTGCGGGATATGCGTCACTACCATTTCTCAGAGATTTTATTTTTACTGGAAACAAAAAAATGTCGGAATGTTGTTGTAGACCTTCAAGTTTGGTTAGGTTATGAGCGAGTTCACACTGTTAATCCAATCGGTTACAGTGGGGGATTAGCAATTTTGTGGAAGAAATATATTAACCTTAATGTGATATCATTGGATAAAAATATGGTTTACTGCTCTTTTCGTTTTGGAGAATTGTGTTTCTTCTTGACGTGTGTCTATGGTGAACTTTCTCTAGATGGTAGAAGTGTTATGTGGGAAAGAATTTCGAGGCTGGCATTGGAAGATCTGGAGCATGGAGCATGGCTGGAGATTTCAATGAAATTCTTAACAATGATGAAAAGAGTGGAGGCCCTAAAAGATCAGAGTCTTCTTTTAAGTGTTTTGCTGACATGTTGGAATCGTGTGGGATGGAGGAATTAAAAAGCAAAGAAGATAGATTTATTTGGGGAGGTATGAGATGGAAGAAGTGGATTCAATTTTGTCTTGATCGTTGCTTCAGTAACAAGGCATGGTATTAATTGTTCCCGGGATTTCACCAAAATTTCTTTGAGAAGAGGGGCTCAGATCATCGACCTGTATGGGTGAATCTCCAAGCAAGTGCAGATCCTCCCAGGGGACAATTCAGGTTTGACAGATGATTGTTACTGGATCCTGAGGTCAAGCGAGATGTGGAGAAAGTTTGGAAACAGAGGAATGGTGCTGGGACGGTTGCTGTTAAAATCCGAAAATGTAGAAGTTTAATGAGTGCTTGGAAGAAAAAGCGGAGATTTAATGCAAAAGATAAGATAAACTTACTCCATGAAAGGCTGGAGTGGTTTCAATTGAAGCCCTACCCGTGTTGGTTTGTGATTACCAACATCAAGAAGGAGCTAATGCAAGCTTACAAGAAGGAGGAGATGTATTGGAGGCGAAAAAGTAGAGAGCAGTGGTTAAGGCTGGGGGATCGTAACTCCAAATTTTTTCACATGTTTGTAATGGCCAATAGAGCTAGACGGCGTTTAAACAAGCTGAAAGATAATTTTGGGCAGGATCACTGGTCTGATGCAGCTAAAGCCAAGATTGTCATTGACTACTTCACTGAGCTCTTTGAAACTTCAAACCCACCATCGTATGAGCCAGATTTTCAGAGTATGGCTCTTAAGGTCACAGATGCAAGGAATAGCTCCCTAACTACGAGGGTCACAAAAGATGAAGTCCGAGAAGCAATCTTTTCTATCAAGGCGGAAAGTGCTCCTGGATCAGATGGTATGACATGATTTTTTTTCCAGAAGTTTTGGCCTTTTATTGGAGATGATTTGACTATAGAGATTCAAGAAGTCTTTGAACAAGGGTGTTTACCAAAGGACTGGAATTTCACTTATCTTTGCTTGATCCCCAAGATTCTGAATCCTGAAAATATGGCTGACTTAAGACCTATAAGCCTCTATTCAGTACTTTATAAAATAGTGTCTGCGATTCTGGTGAAACGGCTTCAACCCCTCCT